AATTATACTAAAAGGCTATAGTAACCAAAATAGCTTGTTACAGGTATAAAGGTAGACAGATAGATCAATGGAACAAAATAGAGAACCCAGAAATAAAGCCATATACTTACAACCAACTGAGTTTTGACAAAGCAGACAAAAAAATACACTGGAGAAAGGATACCCTATTCAATAAATGGTGCTGGGAAAATTGGATAGCCACATGCAGAAGAAAGAAACTGGATCCCTAACTCTCACCATATACAAAAGTTAATTCAAGATAGATTAAAGACTTAAATGTAAGAATTGAAACAATAAAATTGTAGAAGAAAACCTATGAAAAACTCTCCTGGACATTGGTCTAGGCAAAGGATTTATAAGTAAGACACTAAAAGCAAATATAGCAACAAAAAGAATAAATAAATGGGACTTAATTAAATGTTCCTGCACACAATAGAAATAATCAACAGAGTAAATAGACAAATTGCAGAGTGGGAGAAAATATTTGCAAACTATATATCTGACAAAGGACTATTATGCAGAATCTATGAAAAACTCAAACAAATCACCAAGAAAAAAATAAATAACCCCATCAAAAAGTGGGCAAAAGACATGAACAGATTCTTTTCAAAAGAAGATATACAAACGGCTAACAAACATAAGAAAATATGCTTACCATCACTGATCATCAGAGGAATACAAATTAAAACACAATGAGATATCACTTTACCCCTGTCAGAAATGGCCATTATTAAAAAGTCAAAACACAATGGATGTTGGCATGGATGCAGTGAAAAGGGAACTCTTATACACTGTAGGAATATAAACTATTATAACCTCTATGAAAAACAGTATGGAAATTCATCAAAGAACTAAAAGTAGATCTACCATTTAATCCAGCAATAGCAAATCTACTACTAGGTATATACCCAAAGAAAAATAAGTCATTTTATAAAAGAGACACCTGTACTCAAGTGTTTCTCACAGCAAAATTCACAATTGCAAAGATGTGGAATCAACCTAAATGCCTATCAACTGATGAGTGGATAAAGAAAATGTGATATATACACACATATACACACACTAAACACACACACACACACACACCATAGAGTACTACTCAGCCATAAAAGGAATGAAATACTGTCTTTTGCAGTGACTTGGATGAAACTAGAGACCATTATCCTAAGTGAATGGACCATTATCCTCAGGAATGGAAAAACAGTACTACATATACTCACTTATATGCAGGAGCTAAATGAGGGGTATATATGGCTATAAAGTTGTGCAATGGACATTGAAAACTAAGAAGGAGGAAGGTGGGAGGAGAGTACGAAATAAAAATGTATCATTGTACCTATTTGGGTACAATGTACACTATACTGGTGACAAGTACACTAAAAGCCCTGACTTTACCTTATACAATTCATCCATGTAACAAAAATCATTTGTACCTCCTAAATGTATTAAAATTTTTTTAAAAAAATCAACACACAAGGCATTAGAATTTTAAAGTTTTTCAGTTAATAAGTGAGGTCAGAGAGAAAAAGTGTTAACATAAGAAGAAAACTCAGAATGATGCAATGGTGACAGACTCTTACAAAAGTCGTCAAATCCTAGTCTTCTACCCATAGTTCCTATATTTCTTCTGGGAAAATATTTGGTTGCCTTATTGTACTTCTGCTCTAATGTATTTATTTTTGTTACGATATAATACACATAACACAACATTTATCATTTTTAACCATGTTTAAGTGGTTTTGTGGCATTAAGTACATTCGCATTGTTATGCAACCATCACCATCGTCCATTTTTAAAACTTTTTCATCTTCTCCAAATGAAGATCTGTATCCATTAAACACTAACTTTCCATTCCTTTCCCCTTCCTGCACTTCCCAACTCCTGTAAACCACCAGTCTCTATAAATTTGACTATTCTAGGAATTTCATATAAGTGGAATCATGTAGCATTTGTCTTTCTGTTACTGGCTTATTTTGCTTAACATAAAGTCCTCAAAGTTCAGCTATGTTGTAGTATGTGTCAGGATTTTCTTCCTTTTCAAGGCTAAATAATATACCTTTGTATGTACTTACTGCATTTTGTTTATCCCTTCATCTATCAATGGACACTCAGGTTGCTTCCATCTTGTGGCCATTGTGAATCTTGCTGCTATAAAAATGGGTGTACAAATATCTGTTTGAGTCCTTGCTTTTGAATCTTCTCCCTATATACCCAGAAGTAGAATTCCTGGATGGTACAGTAATTATATATTTAACTTTTTAAGGAATTGCTATCCCTTTTTCCAAAGTGGCTACACCATTTTATATTCCCATCAGCAGGGCACACAGGTTCCAATTTTTCCACAATTTCATCAACACTTGTTATTTTCTGTTGTCATTGTTGTTGTTTTTAATAACCGTCCTAATGAGTGTGGAGTGGCATCTCATTTTGTTACCATGGATATTTCTGATGGTCAAACTCACCAAGTCTCACCCCTTTTCCAGACTTCCATGCCAATACTTTTCCCCCATGAAGGATCCTTTTCTTAGAATGTCATTCTAAAGAGTCATGTAGGGAAGAATAGCAGGCATTTTTTGTGGAAAGAAATTTATTTAGATTTGTGAGAGCTCCATCACTATGGGCTCCTTCCCCCTCAACAAGATCTCCATAGGAATTGTCATCATACCTCTTTCTATCACCACATTTGACCTTAGCTTAGATGTGGACTTATCCAGTAGGAAGAATACATTTTTCATTCAATCATTCCTTAATTCATCCTTCTTTGCATTCGTTCAACAGTTAGTTATTGTACGTGCTATAATACCATATAGCTATGCTCTAAACCTTCTAGCAATTCTTATTAGTCTCTTTTTTGTTTATAATAATTGAGGAAATACATTAATAAAATACTTCAATGGTTTCCTACTGGGTGAGTGTCCGTGCTGGTTCTCTGAACATCGTTTCTGGACAAGTTTTGTGGGGTACAATGTCTCTTTGTCTTAAAAATGAAATGTTCACCTTCTGTATGGCTTCAGTCAGCATTTCAAAGTGGTACCCAATACTTTAAAAAGTCTATTTACAAAGAATAATGTAGGAATTTGTATTCCACTTAGGAGTGGCAACTATTCATGCCTTTCTTACATTGTAAATAACATGTTGTGAGCTAAAGATGCTTAATAGATGCTAAATAATATATGAGAAAGGAAACTATGATTGACAAACCCAATTCCCTGAGTCTTACAATATTTTTTTTAATTCAGTCTTTACATCATTACAGAAATGATTTTTGTTTATTTTCTTTTTTCCTTTCCTTTTTTTCCTTGAACAAGAGAAAACAAGATTGCCAGGAAGAATTTCCACATGCAACATTTAGTTGTTGTTAGATTTCAGGGTTATAACTAAAGAAAAGGTGGAGCAATTTCACATCAAATGTCTCCCCAAATAAATCCTGGGATTTCCGCCGCACTTTGTTCTCTGGAAATCATCACCATATCTCACTGTAGAAGTATTTCCATGTGTAATTAATTTAAATATAACATAAGAGAAACAGACTCAACATGAAAAAGACAATAATCTTCCACTCAAACATATTCGACCACAAACCAGGGCCATATTTTGGATTTTGTCCTCATTTATCTTATTTGTTGTTTACTTGGGCAATTTTCAATGCCTGGGGAGACATGCTGTACATCGCAGAATAATGCAGTGAGATAATTGAACATATTTCCCTCGTCTCTGGGTCTATTTGTGCTTGTACACACAGTCGCATTAAAGAGGCTGGCATGCAGCAACCTCAGCTGCAGACTGCCATTGTGACTGTGCTCGCGAGCTGTGTGCTAGGGTTGCTCTCACACGAGACGCTGGTTGGGTTGTCCCTGGCGTCGGCTGTGAAGGCCATGCCACTCAGGGAGAGAAAGCCTATTGGACTGAAAAGGAAACTGCCTGTGAAACGACACAAACTGACGTCTAATTCTTCGCCAGCAGAAGTTTTTAAGGAAAGCGCAAAATCAGTGACAGACCAAGAGAGACATCCTACTAAGTAGAGAATCGGGGAACAAATCCAGCTCTGGTCATTCTACATTCTTCACAAAAGGAATTTGGTTGTTTACATTTGTTCTAACCTCTTACATGAGAAAGGCAGTTCCAGATCTGATCATTTCAACTCAGAAAACTTGGTTGAGTGGAATGAAATAGCTTGAGAACCAGGATGTCAGTCTGAGCCATGTGCAGTATGATTTGAGAGTCAGAGTTTGGGTCTAGGAGCCTTGAGTCAGAGCAGATGGTTTTTAAGACAGCGTTGGAAACTTGAAAATGTACATGAGAACCAGAAATAGGGTCTTGTCCACTTTTAGGGGGAGGCAGGAAATTCCCAATGTACTGCTTTTTCTATTCAAGTTGAAAATAGACCCTGAAACTAAGTAGGGGTACTCTCTGCTGTATTTGCCTTATGGCAAACAAGGTTGGCCTGATTTTGCTCTCATGAGAAGTGGCTATGAGTTTTCATCAAAAGTGCAAAGGGCACCATTAGGTTAGGAGTAAGAGTCAGAAGACTAAAGTCCGAATTCTACAACATTGGTTTGACCTACAATCAGAATACCCAGGTCTGCATTCTAGTTCCTTCAGTCCTCAGGGTTATTTTGGAAATGTCACTTCACCTCCTCCTTTAGTTTTCTTTTACCTGGAAAATGGGAATGTTATCTGTCATCCTTATCTGAGGACAATGTGAAAATGTTTTGTAAACTCTTGTCAAGAATTACCATTATTTTAAAGCTGAACTCCCTTATCAATGATAATTAGGTAAACTATGGGAAAATCATCCTTAATGGGAGAACTGTGTAAAACCTCTTTTTTTGGCAGTTGAGTTAGAAGTATGTTTAGGAATGTAACTGGTTTGTTTTTAGCCCATGACATACTCCCGCAGTAGCTTTATATGTTAGGGTAGTGCTAGCCTCCATAAAAAATAAAACCAAAACTGAAGTGCTTTATTTAACACAATAGAAGTTTATTTCTTGCATGTATAAGCTAGATGTTCTGGATTGGTGGGCCATTCTCCTCCAAGTGGTGATTCAAGGACCTGATTTCTTCTATGTTTTGGCTTTATCATTGTTAACATGTGGCTTCCAACAATGCCTATGTAGGAAACTCAGACTCACAGACACAGCTCTCTGCAAGGAAGGCTGGGAAATACAGTTGACTTTTGTGCCTGAGGAAAAGATGAAACAAGATTGGTAAACAGCTAGTAGTATCAGTATGTGCTAAAATTTAGGGTCAGAACAACAACTCACACAGTATTTGGACTATAGACAATAAAGTTGATCATTTGGATTAAAGTATTAGTTAATGAGAATAAGAAGACCAGGGTTTTCAGAAATTTCCAGAGGACATTCAGAAATGTTGCTTTCAGCAGCAGTGGACATACGTGTGTTTGTGAGAAGCATGGATGGGGGTAGTCCCAACTGAGACGTAATATCTCTCCCCTTGGTCTTCTCATCAGGGCTGGCTGAGCTGGTTTAGCTCTGTGCAGATGGAGAGCCCTGATCTGCAGCCGGCAACACAAACATGCTCCAGGATTGGACAATTGCTCTCTCTAGGATCATGATGAAAAGATCTGTAAGAAAGCACAGATTCTGCTGATTGCCCTCTCTTGGTGAACGCTCCTAGTTCTTTTGGGGGAAAATGTGAATCATAAAACCATTTGTATGTGGCTAGCAATCTCATGGTCTAACTTTCAGGCAAGAGAGATTTCACAGTAAAGGGTTAGCCCCAGAAACTAATCCTTGTTAATGAATAAATAATTCTATGGTCACTGAAGGTATGTGGATATGAGAACTCATGATGTAAAAGGATCATGCACTAAGGGAAATTGACCCACTGGGTTGATGGTGGACACAAGAATGAAAGGCTACCAACCATTGAATTATCAACACCTCCAAGTACTACATAATTGCATTTCAACCAAGATTTTTATAAACATGTATAACAATGTCAACTATGGGTTTGCTAGCTTCGAGCTCTCATATATTCTCATTCTCATAACTATTTTATTTTCAAAAAAATAAAACCCATATATATGTGATCAGAAAACAATTCTGTGCACTAGGAATCTTTCATATTAAATCCATTGCTCATGCTCAGTAAGTGACCTTCTCTTAGCAGCCGCTCATAAACTTTAGTAAAAATTAAAGTCAGTACAAAAGTATGTTAAGATTCTAGATTTCTGGCTCCCTGGCCTCTGCAAGAAATCTTATTAAGTATGAGACTCGGGACTCTGAATTTTAATACCAACCTCATACAAGATAATTCTGATGTAGCTAGTCCTTACACTTTAGAATATATAGACTTAATGATTTAATATGATTTGCTCATGTTTGTGCAAAAGTATGCACAAAGAGTTTTCTGTAGCCCTTAACCTGAAAACTGTTAAATGATTATCATTGTCAAGCGAACATTTTTAAAAAAAATTTATTTCAGGAAGTCAGCAAGGGTACAATAGATTTGGATCAAATGGGTAAAATTTTAAAGATTTTTATTTAATTTCAAAATATTAAGTGAGTACAAATGGTTTTGTTACATGGCTAGACTTATCATGCTTTAGTCAGGGATATAAGTGTGCCCACATTAACCAAATATTGTTCAAACCCTGGGTAAAATAACTTGTGGGCATTGTAAGAGATATTCTGACATAACCCCAACGATTTGGCATCTACCGTGTTCCAGATACTGTACCAGGCTCTTTGTATTCAACATGTCTAAATCTCAAAATGGCCCTGAGAAGTTTCTGTCATGGACTCCATTTTATAGTTGAGAAATTTGCAAACTCCAAGAGGTGAAGTAACTTGCTACATTAGACAGCTGGTAAGTGGCAGAGTCCAGATTTGGATCCTGCTGTCTTTGACTCCAGTTCCCTGCCATTTCATCTGCTCTAGGTCAAATCAGAGCTTCTGGATACGACAGTGGTAGCTTGAAAGGAGGGGAGAGCAGGAGATGTGTGGTGGAGCCTAGTAGATGGTGGAGGTAGCAGAGAAGGTTGGGGACATCAGAAGAGCAACCAGCAAGGAAGACAAGTAACTTATCCAGAAGTTCTGGTGACCATTGCTGGTCAAAGGGAAGATTCTTCTGAGAGAACTGTCTCGGGTTCCAATTCTACTTTCTGTTTTGATGAATGATGGAAAAAAACAGTAAGTCTATAAGGTATACATTATTATACCATTGTACAGACGAGGAATCTTAAGATCAGTGCATTCAAACTATTCACTGAGTCACCTAATCAGTTAATGGAAGAGTGGGACTATAATCTAAGCGTGTTTGATCTCAGAGTCCACTCTTTCCAATTCACAATATTCTTTCCCTAGCAGAACCTAAATCAATGTTCTCCAAACTTGTTTATTCTATGAGATTAACAGGAGATAAGATTGGAGAATGCCTGCAATAAATGCTGGTGGTGGTGGTGAATTAGAAGCAATAGTCAGAAAAGACCAGATAATTGATTATGTGAAGGAACTGAGATTTTTCACCAATGGGCTGTGTTCTTGTGAAGGAAAGAAAAAAAGAAAATAATGAGGACAGACAAATGGATAAGGCAAGGAAAAGATAATAAGAGGAGCCAAAGACAAGTTAAGGGGGAAACAGAGATAATTTGTTATCCTTTTGCTTTATTAGCACTACCATGATTTTATTTATTTATTTATTTATTTATTTTTTAGTCAGAGTCTTGCTCTGTTGCCTGGGCTAGAGTGCCGTGGCATCAACCTAGCTCACACCAACCTTAAACTCCTGGGCTCAAGGGGTCCTACTTCCTCAGCCTCTCAAGTGGCTGGGACTACCGGCATGTACCACCACATCTGGCTAATTTTTTTCTGTATATTTTTAGTTGGCCAATTTATTTCTTTCTATTTTTAGTAGAGACGTGGTCTCGCTCTTGCTCAGGCTGGTCTCGAACTCCTGACCGTGAGCGATCCGTCCGCCTCAGCCTCCCAGAGTGCTAGGATTATAGGCATGAGCCACTGTACTCCGCCAGCACTACCATTCTCATATATCGGAAAATTTTAAAAAATCATGGCAGTAGCATTTTTGAAGGGGTATTGACAACATCTGCTTCCAAATACATATATATATATATATGTATATATATATATGTATCTCCAAAAAATGCATATATTCCATATTTATTCTATGTAATTTGTAATAAAAACAATCAGAATTCAGTTTTCTTTTTTCTTTTAAATCTCACAAGTATGATAATGTTAACAAACTAGACTGCAGGACATCCTGTTTGAGTGTTTGTCTGTGTGAGGCACGGAGGGCATCTTTGTACAGATCAGTATGGATGTGGGAAATAAACTTTGAATTGAGAAAATTATGATATTGCAATTGTATCTTATTTGTGTGAATTAATAATAGTGGCATGAAACTAGTACTTATTCTAATTCATAAGGAGTTAGTGAAGAAGTCCTTTATCGTGAAATAATTACTTTTTCAAGGCAGGAAGATAGTAGTCATTTGATATGTGAATAATTTCTCAATATTTAAAAATCAAATCCAAGGGAGTTTCTAAAACCAAATATAGATTATTTTTGGCTTTCATACCACTTTGAATAATTTATATCCATACACTTTAATTAGGATTTTAAAAAATCAAAAGTCGAGATTGTAAGAGGATCTCTGGAGGTGGGATTAAATGTGATTTTTTTTTTCCCTGCACATCCTTGTTTTCTGATTGTTCTACAATTAACACAGACTGGTAAATAACTTAAAGGAGATAGTTGTTGATAAACAGAGGCAGTCAGTTTTCAAATTCTGCATAAGCCTAATTCATTGGCAAATATGTTGATTGTAGATTAGACCAAGTTTTTAGATAAAGATGACAATTTAAATTCTATTTTGATTTGAGGTCAGCTCAAAAAGACCTCTGTAAATCTCATTTAGTTGAGCTTCAGACTGATAAGGGACACTGAAATTTACTATCATCTTTCTCCTATTATGTGATATCTGAGACAAGAGGAGGAGAAAAGGGGTCCTTTAACTCTTCTTGGACTTTTTAACAAAACGGCTTTACTGAACTTTAATTAACATGCAATAAATTGCACAAGTTTAAAATGTACAATTTAACAAGTTTTGACTTAGCTAACAAAACCTTTGAAGTAAGCCAAGCCAATCCTCATATCCTATTTTCTTACACTGTCACCTCTATTGTGTGCATTGCAAACTATGTTTATTAGATTGTGGGTTAAATAGGTATGTGGAGACTAGTGTCAAAAATGACCGTTATTGGTGATCTTGTTTCTTTGAGAAAAATATTCTCAATTCTGCAATATTGTTTTACAGAAATATTTTCATATATCTTGTTTGTGAGATGAAGAGTAAACCTTTTACCTATGTTGACAATTACCCCGACTGGTACATGTTGTCTTCTCACTTATTCTGAATATCACATAAATTCTGTCAAATATTTCCATATAGAATTCCCAATAAAGTCAAATTACCTAATGAATTATTAAAGCAGTTTGTTGAAGACGAGACTGTTGGAGAGAATGCAACCCTGCTAGGAAGTGGTTCCAGAAAGGGCCTCATTTTACATCCAGTGAGAACTGGTAGGAGCTAATATCTAAGTGGTAGATATAAACTTAAAGCTGAGATGTCTGCTCAACCCTTTGGTCCTTTGAGCTTTACTGTCTCTCTACTTTAGCCCTTACTGCAAACTCCTGCCTGAAGCCTCCTCTTCTTTTCTAATCCAGAATAGAAAATTGCACCTAATAGTGAATTTGTTTTCTGGGAAGAGCTACAGTAGGGCTTTCCTCTTTGAAGTCCACTCTACGCTATCTCAGGAAGAAGGAGAAATCTGCAGCAATGTACAAAGGTTAGATTGAACAGTAACACACATAGTGGTCAGATACCTGATCATGGACACATGCTCATATCCATCCTATGGGCCCATTTTTATTTTTGTACAGTGGGACTCTATCATTTACTTTTTCTTTTTTTTTTTTTTCATTTTTCTTTTTCTTTTTTTTTTTTTTTTTTTTTTTTTTTGGAGACAGGGTCTCACTCCTTTGCCCAGGCTGTAGTGGTGTAATCGTAGCTGACAGTAACGTTGAAACTCCTGGGCTCCATAGATACTCTTGCCTCAGCCACTTAATACTGGGACTACAGGAATGCACCAGCATGCTCTGCTAATTTTTATGTTTTTTAAAAAAAATTTCAAAATATTAATTAAGGGAGTACAAGTGCTTTTGCTACTTGGATACCTTGTATGATGCTTAAGTCAGGGCTTCTGGTGTACTGTCACCACAATAATGTTCATTGCACCCAACAGGAAAGTTTTTTATACCACACTCCTCCTCCTCTTTGGCTTCTCATGTGCTTTATATTGCTCTCATGTCCATGTGTATCCATCTATCAGTTCCCATTTATTAGTGAGAGCATATGGTGCTTGGTTTTTTTTAAAAGCTTCTGTTCATGTCTTTTGCTCATTTTTTGATCAGGTTGTTTGGTTTTTTCTTGCTGATGTTGTTAGAGTTCTTTGTAGATTCTGGATATCTAGTCCTTTGTTGGATTATGGTAGTTCATATTTTCTCCCACTGCGTAGGTTAATCTATTCCTCTGTTGATT